GCTTCGCAGAATGCGCTCAGGCGGTTGGTGATGGTCTTGGCGAGTATTTTGCCTACATGCGAGAGCAGCGAGATGCCCCTGAAGTTGTTGCAGTTCGTCCGGTCACCCTTCTTGTACAACACCTTAATGATGGCATCCTTCCACTCCTGCGGCATCTCTCCCCCATTCCACACTTCGACGAAGATGGCACGGAGGCGCTCCAGGACAATGGGCTCGTCGTCGCCGTCGACCTTGAGCAGTTCGGCGGCAAGGAGGTCGGGGCCAACCGCCTTCCAGTTCCCCAAACCTTTCGTTGCCACCTCAACCTCCTCGAGGTCTGGTACCGCCGCCAGGCGTCGGGTGGCGCGCGTCGCTGGTCGCTGCGTCACCTGTTCGACAACGTCTGGGTTCAGGGTGGGGGACTTGGAGTTCAGGAGGGTATCGAAGAATCTCCGCCACCGCTTGAGGATGGCATTCTTGTTCCGGAGCAGCACGCCGTTCTCATCTGTAACGAACTGCTGCCCCCCAGCTTGTCTCCCGCTGAGGCCCATTGATCGCTTGAGGTGTTGGTACAGCCCCCGCATGTCGCGGTCCTGGTAAATCGCTTCGAGCTTCATCACGTACCCTTCCAGGTGGTCGTAGACGCTCGTTGCGATTGTTGCCTTCACCCCCTTGCACGCTGCTTTGAGGATCCTCCACGTTGCTGCGTTCGGTCTGGCCTTGAAGGCATGCCGCGCCGCCCGTCGCTTGTCAAGGGCGGTCGCCAGGGCTGCCCGTGACGCGGCGGTCATGTTCCATTCCGGGGTGCGCCGCCTCCGGGGTTCCCCAGACAGCTCCGCCTCCGCCGCGCCAAGCAGGGCCTCCGTGAACTCCTTCGCCATTTCCTGAGCGGTGGTCGCCGGCGCGCCCGGCCTCGCGAGCAAGTTGCAGAGAAACCGTTGGGACACCGCCCATCGCGCTGCCTCGACCTGCAGATCCTGTCGGTTGAACTGCGGTGTAGATTATCCAAAAGTTGCTGAGTGGCTCAACAACCGGGCGAAGCTGTTGCAAGGTCTGGTGAGAGTCGAATGATGTGTGGAATTTGGCTACGGGGATGCACCAAATCTCAGAGAAGTAAGTTCGTTATTTGGTGTGGACGACGGCCTTACACCAGCCCACATCCTATATCGCAAAGACAGTATACTGCGGCCGGGTGACTGTATCGGCGGTCACAGGTTACATGTATTCAAGAGAAGGTGCTGAATTCGGCAACCCCCGATGTGGCCCAGTCGCTCTCAACAACCGAGGCGAAATTGTTGCCCTTTTGTCCCTCCGCAGTGAAATGGTACACGCGTGTGGTTGTTTGGCAGGGTAGACAATTCTGGGTGAACATACGTTCGTTTTTGGTGCTACAAGATTTTCTCCTTAGCGGCCATCATCCTATTTGACCGTGGCTGACGCGTCAATTATCGGTCTTGAACGGTGTAATATATTAGTATAGTATAGAGTGGCGTGCCGACAGAATGGAACGACACAATGATAGTTGTTTCGAAAGGACAGTATGCTGACCAAAATTACGTGATGGGCGGTCACAGGCTGTACGAGAGAAGGTGTTGGAGTTGAGAGCATCGCGATGTGGCGCAGACGTTCAACAATGGGAGGGGTGCTTTGGACCATGTGCTTCTACATCGAATGCTACACTAGCGTGATGACACTCCTTTCGTCCTTTCCCCTCCCCGTCCAGGGAAGTATTCTTAGACGGGACCACCGCATGATGATTGGTGTCAGGCGAAACATCGGAAGAATGTAGGCTCAGAACATCCAAGCTTGGCTGCAATGTTCAGCAACCGGACCGGTTGTGACGATTTCTTCTTCGCAGCGGGGCCGACGAACCTTGACCGCATTCCCCAATCGTTCCTTTTTTTTCTATTAGGGCAAAGATTACCGGGCCGGATTATTGTTCAATAGAGCTATCGCTATTAGGAAAAAGGTGTTAAGCCCAGATCGTACAGATGTTGCGACGGTGCTTGGCAGTCGGGCGGAGTCGTTGTTGAGTCAGGTGAGAGTTGAATCATTTCGCGTGAAGTTTGGCAACAGGGGGCACAAATCTCGGTTAAATGTGTTCGTTTTT